GGGGGGGGGAGGACACAGGAGTCACGCCACCGAAAATTCAACCCATCTGTGTCTGCTCAGCCGAGAGGCAGCCAGCCCTCTCGTCATGGAAACCGAGAGCGGGCATGGCTGGTCCAACAGGAAGTGCCTATAAAGTGACATCGGTTCACGTAACCATGGGTCATTCTCACAAACACACACACACACCTCGCCCCTGGAGCGCCTGCTGGCTTTCTAGAATTAATTGGGCAAGGGTAGAACCGGGGACACGCTTCTCTCTAGCAATGGCCCCCCGCAGACGGCTGCGGTGTCGGGTTACCTGGAGCATGTTGAGGAGCAGGCTCCGGAACTTGGTACCCTCCACCATGAAGAGAGCCATCCTGTCGCACAGCCTGGCGGCGGTGACGGTGAAGCTGCGGTCGGACACGGCCTTCTGGTAGACGGTCCTCACGATCTCGCCCAGCATCTGCTCCGAGTTGGTGGAGCTCTGGGCCTCCTCCATGAACGTGCCCAGCTGGGCGTCCACGTCACTGCTGTTGTTCCGCATGCTGTTCAGGATCTCCATCAGCTTGTCCATCTTGTTCTGCTGCGGGCGGGAGGGCTCCACGGTCACTTCATCCTGGGGTGGGGTGAGGGGGGGAGTGGGAGGCCTGCCCTGAGTGACCGAGCTGAGGTTTCCGTGGGGGAACCTGGTCCTATTTGCCTCCCACCTGATTCCTGGTCTCTTTAAGCTCGCTTCCACAGCACCCTGCCTGTCCCTGAAGCTCTCTGCTCATCATTTTAGGGAGCCCCTTTGGGATCATCCTGGGTGGTCCACAAGGTTAATACACTGGGCTGCACACCGAAAGGTTGAATCCCACCCCCACCCTCCACCAGGTGCCTGGGAAGAAAGGCCTGGTGATGGGCTCCCCCAAACCATCAGCTACTGAACACCCAGTGGGGCACAGTGAGCCGAATGGTCCCTGGAACTGCCGACAACACCCCGGAACGGCACTTCCTGTGAGTTCTCCCCCTCCCCCAGGATTCTTCCCCAGGAGCCCCTGTGGCCTTGTGGTTATGCACTAGGCTGCTGACTGTAAGGTCAGCAGTTCGAAAACACCACCAGACAGGCCTTTCCAATCCCATAACAGAGTTACAGTCTCAGACACCAACCCACAGGGGGCAGGTCTGCCCAGTCCCATAGGGTCGCCATGATTTGGCACCAGCAGTGAGTTTGGTTTTTGGCTTTTGATCTTTGTCTGTGAAATATCTTCATCTAGCACTGACTCAGTGGGGCTTATAAGAGATGAAGGGAGGTCACAAGGAAGGGACTGGGCCACAGAGAAAAGTGAGGGTGGGAAGATTAGTCCAGGAACAGGGTGGGGTAGGGGGTGGGCAAATGCCTGCTCTGCTGCTGAGAGGGGCCTCCTGGTCCTTCAGCCCCCTCAGCCCCTGTACCCCACGGGCAGCCATTCCCAAGCTCCCCAGGAACACAGCGCTGGCTTTGAGTCCAACAGAGGCAGGGCCAGCCCGCTACCCCGACTACCAGGGGATGCCCAATGTGCAACTAAAACAGTTGGCACTTCTGGGAGGGGAATTTCAGGACCCCCCTCCCCTAAAGAAAATCTTATACCCTTTTACAGCCACCAAGACCAGACCAGGGTCCCGAAAGGGAAGTGAGTGACGTCAGACAGTCTCAAAGGCAACTCCGCAGACACAGTGTAGGTGGGTGCCCAGCAAGACAGCAGGCCGACTGCGGGGCTGGGAGCCCAGGCTGGACAGTGGGTCCCTAGTTGCCTGGGTTCTTGGGAGGCAGCTGACCTAGTCTCCAGACCCCGCTCCCTGCCTCTTGCCCCGCGGCTTTGGGCAAGTGGATTCGCTTCCCTACACAGACAAGGAGGACAGACTAGCAGGTGGACAGTGTCCCTGAGTCCGACCACTTTGGGGTTGGCTTCCAAGAGCAACTGGTCTTCCCACCGAGAACTGGATCTGACAATGACCCTGGGCATCCTGCTCCTTCCTCCCAACCTCTTCCCGAGGACGGCTGGTCTGAGTTGGTGGGCGGACAGGACATGACTGCCTACCCCACAGACATCTAACCCTTGACCTGCAGAGTGGAGAGGGGCCCCGCCTGAGCCCATGCCCATGTCCTCCTGGTCCATGAGCCCAGGATGCCTCACCTGTGGGCTGTGCTGGAAACATTAGGGATCAGAGAGGTTAGGTGGCTTTCCCAAGGTCACCTAACCGGTCAGAGGCAGAGCGAGGGCTGAGCCTGGCTGGCTGGACTCTAAAGCCCGGGCTGTTTCCTCTCTGTGGTCCTACAGCGGCTCCATTTAGTAGAGCTCGCAAGAACTGAGTCAAGACTCCTCTCCCCCCAAAATCATATCACTGTAAATAAGGGTGAGTGCAGAGTGGAAACCCAAAGCCCATCTGTTGGTAATGGAACACCCCCTTATAGAAGGGTCGCGGGGAGGAGACAAGCCAGTCAGCATGCAATGTAGCAACAACGAACCATACAACTTTCCTCTAGTTCCTAAATGCTTCCTGTCCCGTCCCCGCCACTATCAAGATCCCAATTCTATCTTACAAATCCGGCTAGACCAGCGGATGTACACTGGTACAGATAGGAACTGGAAACACAGGGAATCCAGGGCAGATGATCCCTCAGGACCAGTGGTGAGAGTGGCGATACTGGAGAGTATAGGGAAGGTAGGGTAGAAAGGGGGAACTGACTATAAGGATCTCCATATGACCTCCTCCCTGGGGGATGGACAACAGAAAAGTGGGTGAAGGGAGATGTCAGACATGACAAAATAATAATAATTTTAAAATTATCAAGGGTTCATGAGGAAGGGGGGAGCAGGGAGGGAGGGGGAAAAATGAGGAGCTGATACCAAGGGCTTAAGTGGAGAGCAAATGTTTTGAGAATGATGAGGGCGACAAATAATGTACAAATGTGCTTGACACAATGGATGGATAGATGGATTGTGATAAGAGTTGTATGAGCCCCCAATAAAATGATTTTTAAAAAAGAGACTCCTCTCCCCCTGGCTCACTGCAGCAACCTGTCTTGGAAGCTCCGCAGGTGGACATCAGGTGGGCCCTCCGCCTGCTCCCACATCTGGGGCTAGGAAGTGGGCAGTTACTGCTCGGCCCACAGGCCTCTGGGGTGAAAGGTGTGGGGAGGGGGGTGGACTCAGACCACCAAGCTCTAAGAAAGTCTCAGTGTGGGCAAGCCTGCCCTTCTCCCTGGTGGCTTGAGCAGGATCTTTGCTGCAGGAGCTGGGGAGGGGGAGGGCAGCCTGAGCGCCAGGGCTGCATGTTGGGAACGACAACGGCAGGGCACAAGTCCTTGGGAGGAGGAGGCCTGGTGTCTGAGGCAGAGAGCCAGGCTGGAGAGGCGGGCCGGTCTGGGGAGGAGACCAGGCCCCACAGGCAGGAGCGGCTCAAGGAGGTGCTCACTGTGGGTGCTCACTCAGGGGCTGTGCGTGATGGCGACAGGGAGCACGGGTCCCTGCAAGCTGTCTTCCAGGACCTATCTTTGCAGCTGGACACATGGGGGTGAGGGGGCAGCAGGCAAGGCCATAGCCAGGCTGCTTCCACTCGGCCCAGTTCCGGGCTCCCACCCTGGCTGGGCCCTGCCGGATGGCGCTTCCCTGAATGAGAAACATCCGCCCTTATTTCACACGCAGTGAGCACTAGCAGGGCAGGCTGACCCCTTACCCAGGAACCCTTTCCTCCTTCCCTTCGCAAGTGCCAAGTGCCCACCTGGACCTGGTGGCGAACCAGGAGGTGAGGTGCTCGATGTGCTGGTGGGGGACACGACCTTTCTGGCCTGGTCTGCCCCCGGAGGCTCTGTAGCCTGTAGAGCCCCCGCCCCCAAGCCCCCTGCTTCCTTCCACATGGCTCCCAGGGCCCTCAAACCCTCGAGGCCCCTCCCCGAGTCCAACTACCAACGTGCCTACCTCTCGGCTGTCCTCCCAGGAGCAAGAGAGCAACTGAAATGCAATTACCGGTGCCTTGTCCTTCAGCCTGCGCCGCAGCCTGTCTTTAGAGGACTGGAGCAGGGTGACTCTGGGCCGCTCCGCCAGCCGCTCCGGAATAATACTGTCCTTGCGCTTTGTCTCCGCCTCCGGGACCCCTGGCTGCTGCGGGGGCAGCCGATCGGGGGCCACTGGGCAGGGGCCCTCGGGGTTGCAGGGGGTCTCGAGGGTGCCGTGCCCGGCGTCTTCCAGGGCGTCCTCGAGTCTGGGGCCCTCGGTGGGCACGGTCTCTTTGGCATTGCGGTGGACGCCCGCCTCCCCCTTGTCGCCAGGAGAGTGTTTCATGGTGCCGTGGTGCCAGCGCCGGTTCTGGCTGTAGCCGTGGTGGGTGGGCCTCCCTGAGGAGGGGGGTGCTGAGCCCCCCTGGTAGGACTTCTGGTGGTCCCTGTTGTGTTTGGCACTGCCCGGTGGGTGGTCACCATGCTGTTGAGACTTGTTCCCTCCTGGAGGTCTCTGCTGCCGTCTACAAAACAGGGGAGAGAGAGACAGAGAAGAGGTCAGGGGGCGGGCAGCGCGCCCAGACACAAGCACAGGACAGGAACCCACGCTCTGGCACTTACTGAGGGCCTCCTGGGTGCCAGAGCCCTGGTGGCACAGGGTTGGCGCTTTGAACCCACCCAACAGCTCTGGTTACTTGTTGGGCTGCTAACCACAAGGATGCCTGTTCGAAACCACTGACTGCTCCCCAGGAGAAAGAGGAGACTTCCTACTCCAGTACAGAGTTACAGTCTGGGAAACCCACAGGGCACTTCTACCCGGTCCTATAGGTTCACTATGGGCCAGAACAGACTTGATGGCAGGGAGTGTTTTAGAACAACCCTGTCGAAAAAGGACCCGGGATCCACTTCCGTAAAGATTCAACCCACTGCCATCGAGCCGATTCCAACTCACAGTGACCCTGGGTAGGGTTTCTAGACTGTAATCCTTTACGGGAGCAGACAGCCTCTTCTTTCTTCTGCTGAGCGGCTGGGAGGCTTGAACCACCGATCTTGCAGTTAGTAGTTCCAATGGTTACTCCACAGTGCCACCAAGCCACCGTTCCAGCCCAGAAAACCCTGTAAACCCCAAACCAAACAAAACAAAACCAAAAAAAACCTCATTGCTACTGAGCTGATTCCGACTCATCGCGACCCTGTAGGATAGAGTGGAACTGCCCCTGTGGGTTCCCAAGGCTGTAAATCTCTTTACGAGAGAAGACGGCCGGCCTCATCTTTCCTCCATGGAGCAGTCGGTGTGTTTGAACCGCCAGCCTTGCAGCTATCGGCTTCATACTGAAGCCACTATACTCAAGCTCCTAGAAAGCCCTTTGGGGTGGCTCTAATCCGTCCTGTGAGTATACGAGCTGGGGTCTACTTGATGGCAGCTGGCAACCGCGTGTCAGACTTGGTGCAGGCCCTGGGGACACGAGCGAGAGTGAGCCAGACAGGCCCCTGATACCTCTTAACACAGGAAAACACATCGGAGGGGACAAAATATGAGACGATAACAAATGATTACGCATTGAGCAGTGTCGCCTCTGTCCCTGGCTACCCAGCCATGTCCCCTAGAAGCAGCTCTCGCTGCTGTCTCAGTGACTCTGCCAGACAGCCCAGCACCTTCAGGCCAAGGGCTGGACAGACTCGCCTCCCCAAATGACCACTCAGCTAAGGACTTGTCCTAACGGCTCGTTTGTCACAATGCTTTTTGTTTGGGGCCTCATTGCCCTCAGCCCCCACGAAATAAAACCCCCAAGAAAGTGACATTTCAACATGAGGGTTTTAGGCAGAGACAGGCTCACCAATTTGTCTGACATAAGACTTACAAGCAGCGAACATCACAGGAACCGTCTGCGCAGTGCACGATAAGCGGACCCACCTTCCCCATTGCTTTGGTCCTGCGAGCCAAGCCAGGGGTTGGGAAGGGCTGTTCCCCATCCTTCTATCTGATGTGAGCCAGGGCTGGCTCCTCATCACCCGACGTGCCCTTGGGCATCACCTACATTTTACCCTCAAGGGGTTGTGTGTCCTATGACTTAGACCCTCCAAAGGGGTAAAGTTGGTGAACAAGATTTAAGGGAAGGACACGTATTTTCGAAAGGATGAGCTCCCGCCATAACTTCTTCTATAACAATCCCTCGTCCGAAGGTACAAGAGACTGGCCTCACATTGCATTTTATGAGCACACGGTCTTTTTTGACTGACTCTCAAACTGTTGTTTGTTCACCTGGAAGTAGAAATTCCACACGACCCAGCGATACCTCGGCTGGGGATGCACACTCCAGAAGAAGAGCCCTAGCACGGACAGACACATGCTCTCCCGCGCTCATGGAGCTGGTTCACAAGAGCAAGACGGAGGAAACCACTCAAGTGCCATCCGTGGAAGAACAGCTACAGAAACGTTGGTGGATCCGCGCACTGGAACACCAGGCATCTCTAAGAAAAACACCCGACGAGACAGTGAAGCACCTCATGTCACAGATGTGGCGTGACCTTAGTCCATCCAGGTAGCCAGTGTGTGGCGCCACCTCACCTAACCTGCCGTTCTTTTCCAGGGACTGACGCCCTGATGGCGTGTCCACAGTCAGTACATGAGAGGAACGATCACCTTTCTCATGTCTAACGAGCACCCTCCTTCCAAGAGAGCTTTGTCTGTTCTGGTTGCAGGCCACAAATGCTCTGTATCGACGCCGTCGTGCAGGGATATCCACTCTCCTCTGGTCTTTCCTACCGACTGCAAGGCTCACATGCATGTGATGCGACTGAGGAGGATACCGGGGTTTGAACAGGGCATCTGAGTCCTCAAAGTGACATCTTTGCCTTTTGACACTTTAAAAACAGCCACTGATATTTAGGTTATCTAATAGTTGCTTTATAAATGCAGGCATGTACATATGTAAGTATATTTATACAGAATGATAGGCAAATAGATCTATGTACATATATTTATACGTTAAGTATTAAGGTAGCAGATGGACATTGGGTCTCTACTCAAGTACTCCCTCAATGCAAGAACCCTTTGTTCTAATCACCCGGTAGTCTGTGATGCTCACCTTCTGGATGCAATCGCTAAAGACAAAATGGGTACATAAGCAAATGTGGTGAAGGAAGCTGATGGTGCCCAGCTACCAAAAGATATAGCATCTGGGGTCTTAAAGGCTTGAAGATAAACAAGTGGCCACCTAGCCGAGAAGCAACAAAGCTCACATGGAAGAAGCACACCAGCCTGTGTGATCATGAGGTGTTGAGGGGATCAGGTATCAGGCATTAAAGACCCAGAACAAAAAATCATATCGATATGAATGAGGGGGAGGGTGGAGACCCAAAGCCCATCTGTAGACAACTGGACATCCCCTTACAGAAGGGTCACAAGGAAGAGATGAGCCAGTTAGGGTGCGGTATAGCACTGATAAAGCATACAATTTTTCTCTAGCTCCTTAATGCTTCCTACCCCCTGGCCCCACTATCATAATCCCAATTCTACCTTACAAATCCTACTAGACTAGAGCATGTACACTGGTACAGGTACGAGCTGGAAACACAGGGAATCCAGGACAGATAAACTCCTCAGGACCAATAATGAGAGTAGTGATACCAGGAGGGTAAGGGGAAGGTGGGGGACAAAAGGGGGACTGATCACAATGATCGACATATAATACCCCATCCCAGGGGGATGGACAACAGAAAAGTGGGTGAAGGGTGACAGTGGTCGGCGTAAGACATGAAAACAATTTTTATAAATTATCAAGGGTGAGGGAGGGAGGGATGGAGGGGGAAGGAGGAGGAAAAAAATGAGGAGCTGATACCAAGAGCTCAAGTAGAAAGAAAATGTTTTGAGAATGATGATGGCGACAAATGTACAAATGTGCTAGACACAGTGGATGGATGGATTGTGATAAGAGCTGTACGAGCCCCCAATAAAATGATTCTTTTTAAAAAGCAGTTGCTTATACTTGTTTAAAAAACCAAACCAAAATTCCTCTAGACTCCTTATCCCTCAAGCATAAATATTGGTCTGAGTGGTTTTTAAAAAAATGAAATGGACATAGAGTCTTTGAATGAAAAACAAATTCATTTCAAACACACACACAAGTGACTGATTATTACTTACATAAACTTGGTTGCATTGTTCAATTAATGTTTTTCAGATGGGAATATGGGGGGGGGTACCTTAGATTGGGGTTAACCGCGTGATTTTCCCATTTCAACCAATCACACTTTCTTCCCTGAAAGGCTTTCCACTAGGGGACCATTGTTATTTGCTATTGAGTAAATTCCAACTCGTGGCTGCCCACGTGCTCGGAGCAGAACTGCTCCCGGGTTTCCAAGGCGGTGCCTCCTCTTAGAGGCCCATCACCGGGCCTGTCTTCTGAGGCACCTGTGGCTGGCTAGTAGCTGAGGAATACTTAACTGTTCGTGCCACCCAGGGACCTAAATACATAAACAAATAAATATTTCCCCAACTCTCCCCCTGGTCTCCTCGGGTGCGCTCCTGATCGCTCTCTGGTGAGGGCGGCTCAACATCCCCGTCGGGGAAGACTCCCAGCTTGGTCATGCCCCTGCTGACCTCTGTCTTATCCTCGCGGACAGTCCTGCTTTGAACATCACCTCCCTGCAGCTGTCTCGTGTTTCAGGGGCAGCAGCGCACACCGCACCCATGTGTGTCTGCTGGTCAGCAAGCGGTGCGACTTGGGGTCACTCACTTTGCTCCACATGCCTCCACCGCCACGGACATGCCCGAGGGGGGTCCCCCCTGGCCAGCATGCGCCGCCTCCAGCCCACCCCGCTCACCACGTCCCGGCTTGGATTCCTGGACATTTGCTAGTTTCCTATCAATGAGACCCTACTTATCCTGTGGCTCCTGATGACGTCTTTCAGGTTCACCCTTCCCACCACGGCCGAGTCCTGGTCTGCTGTAGGTCCACACCAGGTCCAATTCGCTCCTCCACCAGCAGATGGACAGTCGGGCGGCTTCCATCTTTTGCCTCTGGTGGCAGCGCTGCACGCAGCACAGGTTTGGGTTTGCTGTTTCTTTTGCCCTTCTCCCGGGGGTAAACCTAGGATAGCGAGGGCCCCTGGCTTGGGGTACGATAGGGATTGGGGTAGGACGGACCCCACAAACTTTGTGAGACTTTTAGTTTACCCTGGCATCCTCTGACCGCTGTGGGCAGTGGGGTCCCAGTCAGCCACCACCCTGGCAGGGGTGCTGGGGTGTCTCATTCAAGCTGGGCAGAGTGGACACCTCGGCTCCTCACTCAGCCTTTGGTGGCGTGGGCGGGGCGGAGGTCACCGCCTGCCTTCCTGTGGCATTTGGCTGGAGAGGGCAGGCGTTCTGGGAGCTGTCTATGCCTCTTGACCTTTCAGCGCTTCGGGAGTCTTCAGTTCCATAGCCGAGACACGTGAGGCAGAAGGAGACCCAGGAGATGGGCCACCGTGATGTCCCTCGAGTCCTGTGGTCCCTCATCCATCTGCCTTACTCTCCCGCCTA